GGGCCCGTGGGCGGGTCCTTGCAGCGCCAGGAAGGTGGCTGTGGAGCTGTGGTCTTGCATCTCAGCTGGGGGGAATGTCCGACTTCTTGACTTGGAGGTAAATCATATTTTCTTTGGTTTTTCTTGAGCTGAGGACAAGTGGAAAGGGGAGAAAGTGGTTACAACGGCAGAACAAGGGAGCAAAATCTATTGGGGGACAGGGTCCGGCTCTCGGCGGCGCCGCGGGGACTCCCGGGGTCGGTGGCAGGGCGTGCTCAACAGTGTGGGCGGGCCGTCACCGAAGCGTCCGCCTGGCCTGCTGCTGGCCGAGCGGGCGCTGCCCTCTCCTCTCCAGGGCAAGGTGGGCAGGGCGCTGCCTGGCCTCTCATCAGCCAGGACGATGCTGGCAGAGCCGCACAGCCTGTCCGTTCTGCAGGTAGAATCTGAGCAATTCCTTCCCGTCTTCCTTCACGTTTACATCTTACAAAGTGAAAGGTCAATTGTCATTTGAAGGGCGAGTTTTCTCCCCGCCCTCCTCGTGGAAATGCCCTTCCCGATTGTGGCCTCCCAGACGCCCTCTGGCCGGCCCTGGCTGGTGGGACACTGAGACCAGGGCGGCCCCTGCTGTCCCCCAGCAAGAGCTGGGTCCTGCCTCAGTTCCTGGGCCCAGCAGGGTGCAGAGGGCACCTGCGTCGCCGGCGTCCACGCAGGCCCGGGAGGCGGCCAGCCAGCCCGCTGCGCTACGGTCGCTGGCTGACCAGGGACGGGGGCAGCCCCTGGGGGCGGGTGGCAGGAGGAGGCCAGGCCCGCTCGCCGCCTGAGACTGGCCCGTCAGCAGCACCTGTGCGGCTGGCTCGGAATTAACCGAGGCGGCACAGACGCGCCCGGAAAGAGCTTGTGGAAAGCTCTCAGTAAGCGTGAGCCAGGGCCACCCCACCCTACAGAAAGCAACCCTGGGGGTGAAGGGGGGCGTGCAGGCAAGCCCAGGACTGTCTTTGTGCACCCCTAGGAACCCAGGAGGGGGTTCGGCCCCACCCCGCTCTCTCTGCGGCTCCCTGGGCCTGGGTCACTTCTGAATGAGGTGGCTGGTTGGACCCTGGTGCCCTGCCATGTGCCCCTCCGTGTCTCTCTGCGGGGTCCCCCTGCGCTCCCCAAGCCTTCGGGGTGGCCCTGCCTGCAGTCTCTGCACTGCAGCTGGGTTGTTAGAAAGAGACCAGACAAGTGTGGAGCTTTACAGACCCGTCTTCAGGACACTAAACTAGAAAGGCTGTGAGGGTGCTCTTTTACAGGCTCTGTCGCCTCGGGGGGGCCGGTGGCGGGGGGGATGGGGACCAGCGGCGGGGAGATGGGGATGGGGGGTTCTCTCGAGCTGCCCGATCCCCAGCCAGCTGCATTTGATTTCGACACATCACCGGCGTAAACTTTCCTGTCCTACGAAACAGCCATGGAAACGCCAGTGAATCGTTCCAGTGGCTGTTGGGCAGTCACGTGCCAGGCGCTTTCCATGCCCACCCAGAGTCCTGTCGGAGACCAGTGGGTGGGCAGCGGAAGACAGGAACGACAGGGGAAGACAGGCTGGAGGGGTCAGCCCCCATGCAGGAGACGCGAGGAGCCGGCCAGCCAGACTCCGGGACTCTTGCTCCTTCCTCATCACCACGCGCCACCGCCTTCCTGGCCTGGGGGTGGCGGGAGAAGCCAGACGGGTCTCAGCTGGGAACGGCGGCGAAGGCGCCGTGTCTGCGCTCCAGGAGCTGCCAGCGTGCTGCAAGGAGGCTGCGCTGATATGGGGGTGCAAGGGCAGTTGATCAAGGGTCTCGGACTCCAATGCCCACTTGTTCCGGGGGTTCAGTGGGGGCCCTTGGCAGCCCGGGCGCCTCGGCACCACGTCCTCCCACCGCTGAGCTGTCCCTCGCTCCTGCAGGTGGTCCGCGAGAAGAAATGCCTGCTCTGTGTTAGCGAACCTCTGAGTTTTTTTCTGACAGTTGCTGGAAGCCCAGTTTGTGTGGAATTTCCCACTTCAGTACCAAGGGCCAGGCGAAGCACTGGAGACGGGGGGGTGTGGTAGCCAGCGCCGGCTTCTCCCCGTGGCCAGAGCTCTCTTCTGCTCCAAGTTTCTAGTTCTAGGAAAATTCCAAGGCTGCTGAGGTGGTTCTGCAGCAGCTGCCCAAGTATGGATGGGATGAAATGGGCGAGTGGTGCGGGACGGACAAAAGTCCTAAATGGTGTGTGGATGAAATAAATAAAAGCATATGCGCTCCTGAGCTCACCGCTCGGCGCATGAGCAAGCTTGCGAGGAACGTGTCAAGAATGTTCCTCGCTATTCAGAGTTTTTGTTTCCTTTTTGAATAGGTTCATCTAGTAGAAAATTCCTTTTGAACGACACTGAAAATGCTCCCCGCCACTTATACCTAACAGCTGCCCAGCCCTAGAAAACCCATGTCATGGTTCTTGCATATTCATGTGCAGACAAAAGCAAAGTGTAGCTATGCATCTCTATTTTATATTAACAAATAAATCTAAATCAGCACATGCTTTGTCCTTTTTATACAAAGGGTAGAATATGCTTTTGTATGTTTTGCTTTTTTTCTGCTAATGAATCATAGAGGACTTTCCTTCTCAGTATACACATCAAGTGACCTCATGCTTTTTAAAGGCTGTATAGTATTTCACCGAATGACAGGTCATCATCTTTATCATTGCTCTCCTGATAGACGGGCAATAGGTTACTTCCAATCTTGTTACATAAAATGTTGCTTCAATGAATAACCCTGTACATAGTCGTTTTAGCATGTACATTCCTGGAGCTGACGACTGCCAGGTAAGGGAAAGGGCACCTTTGTCATTTTGCCCCTATTATCACATGGCCCAGCACAGGCTTCACGGCGAAGGCCTTCCAGGGTGGAGGAGACTGCTCCCTGCATTCTCTCCCGACACAGCATGTTACCTGCTTTGATCTTTTGCAGTCCAAGTGGACATGTTAAAGACGCTTTCACCGAGGTCACTTGGTTCGCAGCTGCGCAGCGTGTCAGCCTGGCGTGGGGCCCTGTGAGCGCGGCCCTGCTCCTCTGCACGTCTCTGACGAAGCAGGCTGAGCACACCTTCACGGGTTGGAGAACTGCTTTTACTCCCCCCCCCCAAGAGTTATCAGTGCGAGACCTTAGACCCCTCTTTCCGTGTGTGATCGTCCAGTGGACTCCTTAGGGCTCAATCTACGGGGGGAAACAGCCCTTCACAGAAGACGACACCTTCTGTCCACGTTTGTTGGCTCTCTCACGTTAGGTGATCGGTACCAAATCTACCATTTCTTAGGAAAGCAACGCTTCTGGTCTTTTTTACGAGATCTTCAACGTTGCTCATATTTCCAAAGACTTCCCTGCCCCGAGGGGACCGTGCTCTGTGTCTGCCCGTCGCGTCTTCATGTTCTGCTGTTTCTTCCCTGCGCTCTGCCTCGGCCTTGGCCCGACGGCTCTCAGTGTCCCGTGCGAGGTGGAGCCCTGACCTGGCCGTTGCGTGACCGGCGCCGGCCCTACCTGTGCATGTGCTCGGCCTCCTCGATGGTCTCGGGCAGCGCCTTCCCTCTGGTCTCGGGCAGCAGCAGCACCAGGCCCCCCGCGACCACGCCAAAGGCGGCTGGAAGCAAACACGCAGACGCGTCAGCCGGGGCCCCGCTTTGTCCCCCCTCGGTGCTCTCCCTCAGGTTCCTGTGCCACCCCACGACCCTGCTTCCCATCCTGGATGTGTTCCGAGTCCGGACTCTGTTGGATGGCGATTCCTTATAGGGGAATGGAACTCTTAGTGCTCGGAGTTGAGGTTATTCTAGGACGTGGCCACCATATCCAGAAACTCTGCAGTTAGAAAATAACTTGGGGAAAAAGGTCAACTCTAAGAAAAGGAGGACATAACTCTGTACTATAAAGCGCTTGGTGAAAGTGAGTCAGAAACTTGGACCAGTACTAGCAAGTGGAAGTGGGGGGCCCGGCCGGGCCTTCAGTCCTAGTTCAGATGTTCAGTAAATTCCCCTTCTCTGTTGTCTCCAGCTGGAATTTTTTACAGAGACTGGGGGGGGGGCCGGGGGGGATAAACATTATTGTGTTTTTGTGCCTTCACGTTTACATCTTGGGATTTTCAGATCACATTTTTATGTTTAATGAAATGCAGAAGTAGGGGATGGCTCTTTAATGGTTTGGGGTTCTCAAAAAATGCATCTGGACTCTAATCCAAATGGCAGGGAAACAGGACCCCGCGCCCACTGGTTCAGGGAGCCGAGGCTGAGGGGTTCTAAGCACTAAAGAGAAGCCTCTCGCAATCTGGGCCGGCTAGGGCCCGCCCAGAAGGCCTCTGCAGCAAGGCGGCCATCACTTTCCTCGCTGGGTCACCCCGCCTCTCACTCAGCTTCGTTGCTCCGGCTGCCCGGGCACCGGGTCCCGGCTCTGGTCCTCTCTTCCTACTCACAGTGCCCTGGGGGGTCCGGGAAGCTCTGCTGCGTCCCCGATGCT